ACATGGTTTACTGAAGTAGATACAATAGAATTATATTATATATATATATATATATATTTATTTATTTATTAATAGGGTGGACATATAATGTAATAAAAGATATTAATAATCTGACTCTAAGCATGCCATGTAAATAAAAAAGCCATCCAGTTATTTATTATTATGATTATTATTATGATGTCAGTTATTATCCCGACAGCAATACCACACTCTTACATATTCAATCAGCACTTTACTGTCTAAAGGTTATTTCTGTGACAGAAATGCAATATTAACTGCATTTGCAGTATATCACTAATATTTATTATAATTTTTCTCTGTCCTGTTTTATTTATATATTGGTTCATCACATCTTGGGTCCCTAACTGATGAAAGCATTGGCGTGGGATAGAGACATGGCTAACTCTGGCATGGTTAACAATAATGAATGTTTGCTGTCGCCGATTGCGTTTCCCTTCAGTAGTTCTCAGAGTAATATGACGCATTGCGCTCTACTTTTATGTCCTCAAACGTTAGTTTTTTGGGTCGACAGCTTATAAAAACATAGTTCTGGGTTTTATTGGTTTGTGTACTGTACACGTTGTCACACAGCAGTTTTCAGACATTGTTCTGTTTTTTGTTGTAAGTCAGAAATGACAAGGATGCAGCTTCCCGCAATACAGAGTCAATGGAAAGCGTTGGAATTTTCAGATTATGACACGTGTCGCTCTGTGCTCTGTCTGATCTCTGTACTCTGTGTCTGATCTCTGTACTCTGTCTCTGTCTGATCTCTGTGCTCTGTCTCTGTCTGATCTCTGTACTCTGTGTCTGTCTGATCTCTGTACTCTGTGTCTGATCTCTGTACTCTGTCTCTGTCTGATCTCTGTGCTCTGTCTGTCTGATCTCTGTACTCTGTGTCTGTCTGGTCTCTGTACTCTGTGTCTGATCTCTGTACTCTGTCTCTGTCTGATCTCTGTACTCTGTCTCTGTCTGATCTCTGTGTCTGATCTCTGTGCTCTGTCTCTGTCTGATCTCTGTGCTCTGTGTCTGATCTCTGTGCTCTGTCTCTGTCTGTACTCTGTCTCTGTCTGATCTCTGTGCTCTCTGTCTGATCTCTGTGCTCTGTCTGTCTGATCTCTGTACTCTGTCTGGTCTCTGTACTCTGTGTCTGATCTCTGTACTCTGTCTCTGTCTGATCTCTGTGCTCTGTGTCTGATCTCTGTGCTCTGTGTCTGATCTCTGTGCTCTGTGTCTGATCTCTGTGCTCTGTGTCTGATCTCTGTGCTCTGTGTCTGATCTCTGTGCTCTGTGTCTGATCTCTGTGCTCTGTGTCTGATCTCTGTGCTCTGTGTCTGATCTCTGTGCTCTGTGTCTGATCTCTGTGCTCTGTGTCTGATCTCTGTGCTCTGTCTCTGTCTGTACTCTGTCTCTGTCTGATCTCTGTGCTCTCTGTCTGATCTCTGTGCTCTGTCTGTCTGATCTCTGTACTCTGTACTCTGTCTCTGTCTGATCTCTGTGCTCTGTCTGATCTCTGTCTCTGTCTGATCTCTGTGTCTGATCTCTGTGCTCTGTCTGGTCTCTGTGCTCTGTCTGATCTCTGTGCTCTGTCTGGCTGTGCTCTGTGTCTGATCTCTGTGCTCTGTGTCTGATCTCTGTGCTCTGTCATTGTCTGGTCTCTGTTGAGTTCTGATCTGCTGACTCTGTTCTGTTGCAGCGGTGCTGAGGGCCGTGGACGGTCTGGACTGCAGTGAGTCTCTGAGACTGATCTCAGAGAGCGGCTTGGTCTCAGAGGACAGCTTTAACCACGCCGTGGCTGGACTGTACGCTCTTCTCAAAGAAGCTCTGTGTCTGCCATCCCTAAGACAAGAGGTTAGCTCATAGCTTTCTCACATCAGACCGCTGACTCTGTGTGTCTGCTGTGTTTAATTACTCGAGCGCTCGTCTTCACTGACTCAGAAGTGTAAACGTTAATCGTTGAAAAGCTGAGGTTTTGTGCCGCCTGGCGGCTGAGAGGAAAATACAATTAAATGCACTAATACATCTTTAACCCTGTCAGACCCTGAATAACTTCTGTAGAGCAGGCACACTCATCAGATGCATGCAACACTGAATATCTGAATTCTCTTTGTTTCAGGTTTTTAATGAGGATCTCCGAGCGCTTCGGTAGGGGATGTCTCATAAAGTTTTTTCTCAAACACTAATCAATGAAGAGTCACTTTTTTTGGTGTTGATCGTGATATGTTTATAGTGATGTGTTGTATTTATGGGTGCTGTGTATCACCAGGGTTTCTGAGGAGTTCATCGCAGAAGTGTCCAGTGCTGTGTTTGGAAGCAGGTATGATTGGAGCGCCTCGACTCTTTTACATTATCCTGTATATCAGCTCATTTCTCAATGCTCCTCCAGGCAGACCTCCATCAATATCAGTGACACACATCGAGGCCCGACTCTGGCAAAGATCCAGGACTTTAAATGGAGAGTTGATGTTGCCATTTCCACAAGGTACTCTAGTATTGATGGTTTTATATAGACATATGCTGATCTCAGAATGTAAAGGTCGTCTGTGTACAAATAAACATGTAAGGAATAAGGTGTTGTGCACGGACACTCGTCTCTAATCGATTGGTCTTAAACATACAAATATTTCACAATGTTCCCTAAAATGAGCAGAACTCCATTTGTTGTTTAGGAAACTTGTGGATTAGAGCAGTTCTGTACTGTATGTATTACGGCTCAAGATCATAAGTGTCAGTTACTGCATTAATAATACTTTCTGCTTTCACAGTGTAACTGCTATTAGAGTTTGCATAAATACATTTGCCCTACAGCGGCTAATGAACCGGGCGTCTCGCACATTGACAGAAAACAGCTTACTTCTTCATTGAAAAATAAGGTGGATAAGACGAGAGTCGAATATATGAAGCAAAGGGAAGAGTGCTATATAAATAAAGTGATCTCCATAAATTAATACACAAGAGTAAAGATCATGAATGCAGTGACTGAATACTGTGAATAATTCATACTCAAGGGCTCATATTAAAGAGCAGATTTTATAGCCATAAAGTGTGAAAGTGTGGGAACGGTGTCTGCACATTCACAGCAAGTGTGGTTGAGTTCATCTTCACACTGGTATATGTAGCCACAGCACTGTCTGCTTATTCTCTCCACACATACAAACTCAAGCTTATCTGTAGCTAACACTGAATGATCACTATTAACTCCAGCAGCTCTAACCATGAGCATGGTTGTTATTTGTGTTTGATTAGTTGTGCAGATGTGTATATTTAATGTGAAGCACATGAGCAACATATGATTGATCATTATTAATGTTTGTGTGATATTTAGCTCGCTGTCTCGAGCTTTGCAGCCCTCCATTCTCATGCAGATGAAACTGTCTGATGGCCATTTGCATCGATTCGAGGTAATCTTTCTTCAATTCGGTTTGATTTCAGAGTATGTAGCAATCACTGAAACGTGTAGAAGACATTTAGCTAGATTATATCATCTGATGTTTACAGATGTATCAAAAACAAGAGTCTACTTGACCAGTTATCAGAGTTTTTTCATTGAAAAGCTACTGGAAAAAATAAAATTGCTTTGATCTGGTTTTCTTCTCTCTTCTAGGTTCCAGTTGTCAAGTTCCAGGAACTTCGTTACAATGTTTCTCTAATTTTGAAGGAAATGAATGATATAGAGAAGAGGAGTATTCTGAAAATACAAGACTGATGGATCATATTATCATATTCTATTGCAAGACGAGATATCGGATCTTTTATTTGATTTACACTTTTCTAATATTTGGTAAATTGTATTAATTGTGCTGAATTTATTTGTATAAACCATTTGTTTCCTTTGTACTTGGTCAGCCAAGCTTAATTGTGTGAAACTGTCTTGTTTGTCAGCAGTGCTTTGTCAACACATTTTTGTTCTATATTTTGTAAAAACAAAAGCCTGTCGTCTTGTGTTTTCTGAAGATCTGCAGTGGTTTTGCATGCGTTGAATCCTTGTACAGGCATGAAGTGTAGTCTTGCAGTCATGCTGCAGTACAGAAGGGTTGTGGTGAATGTCAGCTTCACATCATGTGTGTGTGTGTGTGGTCGAGTCACATCTGTGAGGTGAGAAAGCTGTGGGTGCCTCAGATGGTGTGCAGGGCTGAGGGAAGTGTGCTCGTTATACTCACAGCTAATGAGCTGCAGCAGTAACAAAGACTCGTTTAAAAAGCACCCATATGAGGAATCAGCATGTTAAAACAAAGCCTTGTTCAAAGAAGAGCTAACAAGTGAAGAGTGTTGTAATACAATTCCTGTTTATCTCCTGATGACGACTCGGAGACCTCAAGCAGCCTTGGCCTTTTTTTTGCTCAACCAGTTAAATATCCAGCAATGAAAAAACTGCTTAATTTTTGTAACCGTCCTTTAGAACATTTGTATTCAATGAATCAAAATATTTCCTGCTCTAAAGACATTAAAGATATTCGTCTTTTTATTGTCGTGGGTTTTTGGTTTTGTTTTTTAGAAGGGGGTGAGTTTTAGTGATAGTTACTGACATTCGCGCTAATAAACTATCGTCTGTAACCACGCTTCAGTAGCGGCCTCTGCTGTGTTTTCATCCCTTGTGCCCCGCCGTCCCATGAGTTCTCGCTTTTTTAATATTTCTAATGATATGATATAGTTAATCAATCTCACACAAGGGTGTCGTATAGCAGCTGCCTAGTGCCGTGTATTGCACATTTTATTCACAACATTCTAGTTATTATTATTCTTCTGTACAGTTTTCGCATCTAACTTGTCTTAAATAGATTTGGATATATACTTTGGGATGCAGCCCTGCAGGAAAGTCCATAGATGATGAAGCTTCAGACTCTGCACCGAATGCATCACAATCTTTGCTAAATTGGCCTGATGCTTCCAAGAATCCGTAATGTCCTTCATATAGTCAAGATCTGCACCTCCTGCAACGGCAGAACACCCTCATAACAAGACTGGTCCACCAGAGCGTGTTCTTCTGCTCAAAGACACACAGCTGATCCAGGGGTCCAGAAAGTTTGGTCACTCTATAAAACATTCTTCCAGATCTCCACCGGTCTATCCAGATTCATTCATTTCTGATCGCGGTCAAATACAGACTGGGGCACAAGGGCTCTAGAGTCTGTCTGTCCATTAAGGACATCTGGCTCCGAATGCCCTGCTGTAAGTTGAGTCCCTTTCATCATACAGAAACAACATGAATGCAGTTATGTATAGGTTAAACTTACCCTTACATTATCACAGGACTCCATGTCTGTTCTTACTCAAACATCACCTCCCTTTCCTCAGAGCCTGGTGTGACAGACAAGCCCTACATAATGGGATGGTGCACACAGTCTTGAGATCATCTCATCGACTGGGGAAGGTATGGCCCAGAGAGATTCTGGGTGGCTCGCAATTGACTTCGCAAAGAGCTTGATTGACAGGTGATCTGACCAATCATGATGCTGAATCCGCCAACTTGTCCGACAAACAAATCAGACAGGAGAGCAGATTAACTTCAATGGACTTAAACTTGAAAAATATGTGTGTTGATGTCTCTCCGTGGTTGAAATAAGATATCTTCAACCCCTATATATATATTAGGGCTGTCAGTGATGTGTGCATTAATGCATGCGATTGATTTAAAAAGCGTTAACACATTCAAATAATTTGACGCGATTAACACAAAATTAGTGAAACACAATTTCTATTTGAATGCATTCAAACAATCAGTCAAACAAACCCGGCTGATTACATCAGAGATGCCAGAGAGAGCAGAGACTTGTGTTGCATTTTCAGTGAATTATTAATTCCAGTGTGTTTCGCTTTAAAGGGCACCTATTATGCCCCTTTTTACAATATGTAATATAAGTCTCTGGTGTCCCCAGAATGTGTCTGTGAAGTTTCAGCTCAAAATCTCCCACAGATCATTTATTATATCATTCTGAAAATGCCTATTTTGAGTGGAAGCAGAAACAAGCTGTTTTCATGCATGTCTTTTTAAATGCAAATGAGCTGCTGCTCCCCGCCCCCTTTTCCAGAATAGAGCTGCGCCTTTACAGCTCGTACCTCAGATACTCTGCTAAAAACATCTGTTTGGTTTTGATTATCATGTCTATCTCGCTGAAAACATGCATTTTAAAGCCATATCAGTTTAAACTTCTGATATAGGGTTTTCTGAGAGCGCACATCCAAAGCTTGCGCACAGAAAGTGTCTGTCACACGGCATGTGAGTACTAAACTAACTTCTCTTCCATGTCTTATTGTGCTTAAACTGTCAAATACACGTTTATGTTAAAAAACCAGAGGTGTAAAGTATTTGAGTAAATGTAATTAATTACTGTACTTGAGTATCTTTTCGGATACTTTGAAGTTTTACTGAGTATCAAAGAAATTAGCCACTTTTATTCTCCACTACATTATTGAATGAGTATCTGTACTCTTTACTCCACTACATTTGAAATGAGTGTTACAGTTACACATTACATTTTGCATGGACCTAGCTTGTTCTGCTGCTGTTTATTTCTGCTACAAAAGACGTGACACTGCCTGCTACAGGGCACTACTATATCTTGTGCGTTTTGCACGTACTCACCTAAACTTGTCAACAAGGCTACATTACGTGGATGTGAGTTCCTTAGCAAGTAGATTCACAGGTGTTTTGTATATGAGATGAGGACATGACTGCAGCTGAAACCAGCACATCCAGTGCAAGAAGACTTTGACTTTTTAATTTTACTTAACATTATTGTATCTATCCGTTTAACTGAAGCAACATTTTTGAAGGATGTTGTTGTTGCAATTTTAAGGTGTTCAGTTTCATTTTGGTTTCAGGAAATAAACGTGATTGCTCTCCTCACAAATCTATAAATACATAGATAGCAAAAGTTATTCTAGAAAAATCAGTGCACAATTTTAGAAATCCAAACATTTAGTGAAAAACAATATTTTGTGGGGAATAAATAAAAGTGTTGCACTAAATGGTAAAATGTTAAACTGTTTTTATACAGTCTATGAGCACGAAGCGCTTACTGTGCGCATCCAGTGTGCAGAATGATGCGCTTGAAGCCTGAAGCAACCTGGCATCACAGCCTGCACACCGGATGCGCACATCGTAAGCGCTTCGTGTTAAAAACTGCAAAGCACAAAGTGAAGAGAAATTGATGCGTAGTGTATTATATCTGTGCAACAGTTATTGAGCCTTTCTTTTAACAGTTTTAAATTACAGTTACTGTGCAAGTTAAAAACAATTTATAGTATTTTCTATGCCCGTGTTTTGTTCTCACAGACACCCGGTAGCCAGTAACAAAACATTAAACTCCGGCAAGAAGATAAAGTCCTTTTTGCAAAATCATAGACATGTATTTACAAATCCAGTATAATGGGAAGGGAACACAGAATGATGTTGGAGAGAGCTTTACGAGCTGACTGCTGTAACCGAACGCGATCAGGGTTTAAAGCTGAACGAATGACTGACAGCCACAGCGGAGAAAAGAGTTTGTGTGAACTTTAATGTAAGGACTTAAATATTCATATGTAGCTCACATTAAGCTATCACAGAATAATTCGCACAATCGAGAAAAAAATATATATATATCGGATTTGGATCGGTTCTCTCTTACCGATACCCGATCCGAGAACAATGGCAGTATCGGAGCCGATACCCGATATGAATATCGGATCGGCGCATCCCTAGTTATGACAGGATTTTAATACTAGGAGACTTTTACATCCATGTGTGCTGTGACTCTAAACCACTTTCAAAAAACTTTCTTAGCTTACTCGATTCTTTTGATTTTGTGCAATGGGTGTCTGGACCTACTCATGTTCAGGGGCATACTTTGGACTTGATTTTTATCTCATGGTCTGTCAATGTTGGATATACAAATTGTGGATGCTGGCATATCTGACCATCTGCCCATACTGTTCCCTGTGTCATTTGATGGAAATATCCCAAGTCAATCATCATTGCCATGCTAGACTCTATATTTACTGATGCCTCAAGTGAAGAATTCCTCTAAATATGAACTATTAGGTGCTAATCAGGATATGAACTGGATTGTACTGGATGTACTGTATCACCTGTCACTTGGATGTTAATGAACATTTTAGTATTTTCAATAATAATTGTTCCAATATTTTAAATTTGATCGCACCGCTAAAGGTGAAAAACATAAGCATAATCCAATACCTTGGCATAATGTTATCACTCGTTCCCTTAGACAGACTTGTAGAAGGGCAGAACGTAAGTGGAAAAAAGACAAACTACAAGTTTCATATGAAATTTTATGGGACTCTCTCTGCATTTCAGCGAGCTGCTGAGGCTGCAAAGTGTAGATATTTTTCAGAGTGAATTATACAAAACAGCCATAAGCCACATATTTTATTTTCTACCATTGAGTCTGCTCTTCATCCAAATTTCAACCTTTTTCCTGAGGCATCTGTCACTCTGTGTGAGAATTTCGCTAATTATTGTAATGATAAGGTTTCTCAAATCACGTCTACAATGTCAATATCGTCATATGAATTGGTTGATGTTCCACACTCTGGTTCCACTTAGTCTGTTAACCTGAACACCTTGATCAAGACTATGTCTAGCCTGACACCCACAGTGTCCCCAGGATGTTATTCCATCACGTTTTTTTGGGCAGATTATTGACACTGTTGGCCCTGACTTGTTGTCTCTTATTAGTACATGTCTCCAAACTGGGACTGTTCCTCATGACTTCAAAATTGCCACAGTGCAAGCACATCTTAAAAAACAAAAAAACCTGGACTCCACATTGTTGACTAATTTTCGTCCCATTTCAAATTTGCCTTTTTAATCTAAAATTCTAGAGAAAGGTGTTTTAAATCAACTTCGATCTTATTTGTCTCACAATTCTATTTATGAAAAATTTCAGTCTGGTTTTAAATCTTGCCACAGCATGGAGTCAGCCCTCTTAAGAGTTTTAAATGATATCATGTTGATTAGGGATTCTAGCCAGTGTATGGCTCTGGTTCTGTTAGACCTTAGCTCTGCCTTTGATCTGGTCAACCATGATATTCTTATATCTCGTCTTGAGGCTTGTGTTGGTTTACAGGGCACAGTATTACAGTGGTTTAGGTCATATCTTACTGATAGGAGGTATGTTGTCACTATTAGGCATCGTTCCTCCTCTGAGGTACACTTAAGATCTGGTGTACCTCAGGGATCGATTCTTGGTGTAGTATTGTTCTCCCTTTATATGCGTCCTCTATGGTTTATCTTTAACAAATATGGGGTCTCTTTCCACCTTATATGCAGATGAGACCCAAATTTATATTCCCTTTTATATTCCCTGGCGTGGTCATAAGCATGCCATTAAGCCTATATTGGATTGTTTGGATGAACTAAAACTTTAGCTTGCAACTAATTTTTTGTGCCTCAATGAGAGTAAAACTGAATTCATTGTGTTTGGTCCCAATGAACAATGTGTACACAATTTCGAAACTACATCTCTGTCACCGTACTGTACCACATGTGTCAGAAACGTGGGGGGTTT